TTGATAATGCAATTAACATGAATACAGAAATAGCAAAAATAAAACAAGGAATACTGTGCTGATTGTATTATTTCCAGTAAAAGACTCCATTTTAGTTTATCTGAAGCTTGCTCCAGACTTCAGTACTTGTTTATTTAGGTCAGCTACATTTTCTTTCATAACAGAATGTAGCATATGATGTAATTCTGTCTTAGTAGTGCAGTGCTAACAGCCCAGTTTTGAGAATAATTTCACCTCTGGTTTATAAGGAACGTAAATGCTGCTATAGGAAGGCAAAGGAAGTTAGGGGGATTCAACAGCTTAAACATGCAGGTCAGCACAATGGGATGAGTAAATCCTTTTCCTTCCTGGATCAGCAGTTTGTGTTGTAAAAATAGTTAAGACAGAAACTGTGTTCTAAGGCTTAGCGAAAAATTGATTTCTAACATTTTCTCTTTTCCAATTTGAACAGACTGGTATATGGACTGAACTTAACAAGATTGAGCAAAATTTCTTAAAGCCTTTGCACACAGGACTTAATATGTCAAAAGCACATTATGAAGCAGAAATAAAGAGTAAAAAGGAAAATAGACGAGGTTGGTTGTCTCCATTATTATCATTTGTGTCCTTTAGATGTGGAAATTGTGTGAGAAAAGTGAGTGTTTGTGAACACTATGTAGGCTGTATTTTAGACAGAATTATTTGAAATATGCTGGGTTTGAAATGACCACACAACAACCCTGTAGATACCATATTTGTCATTAGGAACTACTTTCACAATATTATAGGGGTCAGAAGCCAAATCTGAGGGCTTTGTTTTCATTACTAGGGTTTCTTCAGTTTTTCATCCAATATGGACTATTTACCAAAAGTAGCCATTACTCAGGGTCTGTTTACTTCCAAGTACACATACATGTAAGCCTTATGGAAGCTAATAGAAAAATATATGTGATTCGGAGATTGTTTCAACATGAGTGATGTCATGTGGACATTCAAAAATTGCTCTGCACTGCTACTTCTGACTTAATGTTCATGCTTTAAAGTATTTTTGAGCAGTAGAGCAGGTATGTGAACTATTAGATACAATCTTAAGTCCTGAAATATTACATTTTACATTTTTGTTATATTTGACACACAGGGTAAGATTCTGTGCTGGACCTCTCTGAGGCCCAATAGGAGTGGGATCCAACGTGGTTTTGAGCCCCCTATGCACACTTCTGAGCTTGCGCTGCTCCATGGCCTCTGATGCACTTTAGATAGCCCTGGCTGCCCATGGCCTGCAGTGCTGCCCAGAACTTCAGTAGTGTTATGGTCTCACCCCCGTATGCCCTCTAGAGGAGGACTCATGAGAGGTTCCTCTGAAGACAGCCTGTGGTCGTCTTCCTTAGTTCCTACACCAAGGGAATCCTCCCTCAGCTGAATCTGAGGCTTTTGAGAGCACCTTTTTGCCTCTCTGACCCTTTCACCTGGTCAGAGTGGGGGTGAAGATCTCACCCATAATATCAATAGGATAGTAAAACTAAACCATTACCAGGATACTGTAAGACTTCATTGTTCTGGTAAGTTACAAGTACTAAGTTTAAAAAGAGATACTATTTTCCTCAGTTTCCAGAGCTGCCCTTGTAGCCTTCAGAAGCAATGCAAACCAAGAAGGGCGCATGGATTAAATATAGAGAAGCTAGCAGCCTTTGCTTAAACAATAAAATTAATATCTAAGTGGTAGATAAATTAAATCATGGCATCAGACCTTCTCCTGCCGTCTTTTTACATGTTGTAACTATCCATTATTCAAAGAAAGTTTGTTGTATTAAAAATGGATGACAGGATTGTGCTGTGGGAACTCCTGCATTTTTCCATTTTATGTGACTTTTGCAGCTTCATAAAATTGCCTTGTACTGCAATATAATAGACCTCTTGCTATTTTACTATAGTACAAGATTTATCTTTTGAAACCCATCTAGTAATAGTTCATATGCAACACTTACTATAAAGGACAGCCCAATAGCTTAGTAATGCAGTGACCTGCCATATGGAAAACTGAAGCTATAGGAGCCACCTCAGGTCTACATTCTGTTAGAATTCAACATCCTCCATTCTTAGCTCTTGACCAATCACTAGCTACACACATTTAACAATTTAGAATTTATAACTGTAATAGAATGAAGATGTTAATTTAAAAATTAGATGGAACACCCTGCTGCTCTATAATATGTTCTTTTCTTTTGCAGAATCTCACAATTCTAAAGCAGTTTGTTCTGTAACAGTTGGTGGGGAAAAGATGCCTAACATGACCACTGAAATGCAGCTTCAGGTGAGTTCATACCTTTTTCCAAAGTTATGCAAATGCATTTAGACAGTTGTTTTGTTTTGTTTTTTTTTTTACCTGAAGGCAAGTGTACATTTAGAGCTGACTGGGGAAAAAAAATGTCATTGTGCTAATATAAATAACATGAATTTTTCTTGACATTTCAGGTTCTACATTCAGCTCTTTTCACATTTGATTTAATAGAAAGTGTTCTGGCCCGAGTAGAAGAACTCATCGAAGTGAAAATAAAAACCATAACATAAATATTGGTGGTCAAATGAAGCACTTGGTGTCCTAAATCCTAGTGGGTTTTTAACACTTGCAGTACATTAAGACGTTGGTCATTATGACTTTACTTGAAAGAGACATTATCAAGCTTTAAACAAGTCTGTTGAAGAATTATTTATAAAAGGCTGCTAGAATACTTGCAACTGCTGTTCTTTACATGTCTTATTACATGTCTTTACTGTAGAATCTGATTAATGGAGATAGACAATGTACTAATTTCAACAACATATCCCAAGCTACCCTCTCATTGAGTTAGCTGCAGTTTTGCTAGAGTTTGGAAATTGCATCTGCTTGGCATAAGATAATTATATTTTATTAACCTTTGGAGATGAGAGGATGTTTTTGGTGTGTAGAAATAGCCTTATGTTTGCATTACCTAGACCCCAATAATAATGTTTGGAAAGTTTTGAGCTCCACAGATGTGTAAATACTAGGTATTATTACTGCAATTAATATTGCCAACCATACTTCTAGATTAATAAAGACTGACTGTAAATCAGGACTATCCATACTGGAGATCTGAGCATAGGGATTTGAGGATAAGGGGAAGCCATGCTTCAAAAAACACCTCCAGGACAAAACAAGATAAGTTTAGAACTTTCCCCAGTGAAAGGTAATATACATAAAGACAGTAAGCATATATTTTGTAAAGAGAAACGAGAATGCAATTCAGTGTATAAGTTGTTAATGCATAATATGGTCTAAAATATATGGACTTGGGGGAATCTACTCTAGGATCATTTTGATTATTCTTATCCTCCCTAACTATGAAGAATCTCCCAAAGAGGTTTTAAATATTTTGGAAAATCACAGATCACTTTGCAATCAAACTGAAGGTAAGGCACTTGCTTTTTAATGATGGTTTTATTTAAATTGCCCAAATTGTAAAAACAAAACGTATATAGGGTTTAAAAAAAAATCCCGTAACTTTTCTCTAAGTTAGCAAATTTGGTATAACTCACACTATATAGCATTGAATATCACAATAAATGTTATGTAAATTTTCATGTAATGCATTAATTATATACACAAATATTTTTAAACTGACCATTTTTTGTACAGTTGCTGTATTTTTTTTGAACAGACAAGAAAAGCATTTGTATTTTGTTTAGAAATGTAACTCCAGAAGTTTTGAATAAATCTAATTGGTACTAAGTTAGTTACAATCCAACTGGATCTTGTGAAGCATTTTCCAAACTGGACTCTGGTCTATGATCTGGGCTTTTGCCATTAGCATTCTGTAGCGAATGTTGTCTATGTGTGGTTTGCAGGTGATCTTAAAAGGAAAAAAGAAATGTGACACTACTTACAAATATTTTGATTAAAAGAGAATTAGATAGTTTGGGTAAAGAAATACTGAATCATTTACTCTTAATATAGTACAGCTGGAAATTACGAAGAGACTGAGACCAGATTCTCTAAACTGGATATCTGGGGGTGAGAGAGAAACAAAGGTAACAGGATAAGCTGCATTGGGGTGCCAGGCTGATCCTAAAGCACAACTTAAAGCAGCTGTGGGACTGCTTTGTTCATATTCTAATAACATCCCACAAGAGGTTGTTACAGCTGCCACAGCTGCCAAGGATTGGCTAAATATTGTTGCTCCCTGGCTACCCCTCCTGCACTGGGGACAGGGAGGAGTGAAACAGCAGTCATTATGCATGTTGTACTCCACCTGGGGTTCCCCAGATTGGGGAGTCTTGAATAGATCTGGGCCTCATGCTAATATCCTTTACATGGAACTCCTATTGAAGTCATTGGGACATTAGTCCAGATCAAGTGCAGGAAATTTATAGCAGTACGCCTAATTTTATTTAACACTGAATTAGGATATGATGCGGAACAGATTTCACAAAAAGCTAGAGGTCTGACGTACAGTGGTTACTATTAAGATGTCAACGTTTAATAGTTGTCACACTGTAGTACATGAGATGCCACAGTTGTTTTATAGACTCTAGAATAGAAAATAATTGCAGTATCTTATGCCAGAATATTGTAACTTGGTAAATGCTAATTTTTTATACGGTGACCACTTAGGAAAAGGATAAAATGCGAACTAATATCTGGTTTGTGCTATTCCTTTTATTTTTGGTACATTATTGGAGTGCTGTTCATACTAGTATAATTAACGTTGACTCAGCATTTCTGTAGAAAAATCATTAAATAACTTCTGCATATGTATTAATCTTTTCAAAGAAAATTCTTGTTTACTTACACATGTAGGATGTGTGGCAGTTGCACAGATATAAAGAACACAAACGGCTCTGTTGTAGTTGCTAGTCTATAGAATAGATTTATACAAGTAAATCTATTATTGATTGAAGTCCACAAGCTGCTATAGTCTTCAGGTTAATAATTTACTTTAAGAAGACCTTCAATATTTACAGCCGGATTTTGATTTCATGCTAGTTTTACACTAATAAATGAATGGAGTCACTCCTGATTTACAGTGGCAAGTGAGAGCAGAATTAGGCCCTAGAGGTCTGTCATTCATCTTTATACATGCTAATAAGACCTTTTAAAGCTATTGTTGATAATAGTTTGAAACAAACATTTGAACTACAACATCAGACTTCGGCTTGCGTTCTTAGAACAGTAGTTATTGTCGGGACTCTGATCAATGTAACAGTAAGCTACAAGCTCAGTTAAGGACAAATATTTTTTATATAATTCATTGTTTTTATTAATGTATTTAAAAAAAAACTTTCATGGGTAATATTTGTTAATCTATACCACAAGACTTACCTTGGCTATAGTTAGCATGAGTTTAACAGTTTCAGCAGTGTTATGAACTGGAATTACTCGTAAATTACTGCCCAGGAATCTGCACATCAGAATAACCATGGTTATATTTAAAATATATATTTACAGTACATGACAGCTTAAGGCTGAAAAACCCTTCTCACATTATCCAAATAATATTTCTCCATCCAAGCATTTCCCACAATTCTGGACGTCTGGGCTGCTGTCCTCTCTGTGCATCTCATGGAGGCAGTGTTTTGGCACCACATGGTCTGGCCATATCCCTTCTGCTCCTGCTTGCTGCCAGATTCTCTGCCTCCACAGCAGCAGACAGTGGCAGTTTCTTTGCCTCCTGCCCTTACAACTTCTATTTTAACTTTTCTACCCAGTTTTTTGGGCAGTGGGGAGCAGTGTTCTCCCTTGTCAGCATTCCTCTTTCTCCCTGGGTCAGTTAACCTCTGGGGGGTTTAACTGTCCCTGAGCTTTCACTGCAGCATCTCCCTGTTTGCTCCTCTGCACTTCTTTCCTACCAAACTTTTATTTCATAACAAACATCTCACTGTTTCCCAGACATCCAGAACTGTAGGAGATGCTGTGCTGCAGAACAGAAAATTTCTTACCAATAATGCCCTTCCTGCTAGCAGCATCTCCCACAATTCTACCCATCCTGGTAGGGGTCTTGTTACCATATGACTGTTGTCCTTGGTCTAATGTACATAAGTACTTCATTATCTCTGGAACATTTGTTAATGATGATATACAAGTTTTACAGTTTGGGAATAATTTATCTGGCAGCAAGCAGAAGCACAGGATGTGTGTCCAGACCATGTGGCGCCAAAACACTGATCTGCCTCTGTGAGCTGCAGAGAGGAGAGCAGCCCAGATGTCCAGAATTGTGGGAGACATTGCTACCAGAAAGCAAATTATCAGTAAGAAATGTTCCAGTCTTATTTCCTATACTACCCACCAGTGCATGCAGAGTGTTTTTGGGATTATTTTGTTGTGTTTTTTTTTGTTTGTTTGTTTTTTTTAAGGCAAATGGAGGGTTGACACTATTCTTACACCCCTCTGCCCCCCTCTCCACCCTCCACAGCACCTCCTCTTCCTGTATTTTTATGGGGTGTTACAGGAGAGAAGCCCCAGTCTTTCTCTGGAATGCTTAGTGACAGAGTCCCAAGCCCTGTTCCACTTTGCTTGAGTCCAAGCACCTTCAGCATTTATGTGCGCAGGAAGGATTGAGACTGTAAGCACTGCTTTGCCATGCCATTTGCAGAATTAGTTTTAACTCTCAAAATGCCAGTAGCCACGTAGATTTGTTGAGGATGGTGGTAGATTACAGTCAGGTGTCCGAAAACACTGAGCAAAAGGAATAGGTCTAAATCTAAACTCCCATACCTTGTTACCGCACTATCCAGACAGATCATGCTACCTGTCAGTTATACACAAAACAAGAGGATAATCCTGATAAAAATTTCACTTTAAACACACAAAAGTTTATGAAGGGGCAGGGAAATTTGCACTGATTCTGTCTGCAATATCTATTCTGGGGATAAATGGGACTTTACTATTTCCCCCCTCTCAATCCACCACTTTTGATAAGTAGTACATCCAATGACATCTTTACAGCAGGGTCTATAATAGGTTTTAGTTACTCAAGCTGGAACTTAGCAGTGAAATGGAGGCAAGAAGGTTTAGAAACCTAAACTTCTAGAAACATTTGCACAGATTTTGCTTTCCAGAATAGTGCTAAAATACTTTAGGGACTATGTCTGCACTAGAGACCTTACAGCGGCACAGCTGTACCCACCGATGCAACCGTGCTGCTGTAAGATCTCTTGTGTAGCCTCTCTATGCCGACGGGAGAGAGCTCTCCTGTTGACATAATTAGACCACCCACAACAAGCAGCAGCAGCTATGTCAGCAGAAGAGGCTGTCCCACCAACATAGCGCTATGCACACTACCACTTATGCTGGTGAAACTTATCCTGCTCAGGAGGGGGTTTTTTCCCACCCCGGAGTGACCTAAGTTTAGCCAACGAAAGTGGT